TGTCATCATCTAAATAATATCAAAAGATTATATTTCGCATATTATTTTTTTGTGTTTTTGTTTGTTTTCGTTATTTATATTATATAATCGTATACATGCATACATACACGCACACACACACACGCACACGCATGTAGACATACACGCACACACACACACGCACACGCACACATATATTTATATTTATATCCAGAGTTATATATATTGTTTATACTTACCTATACTCTTTTCATTTCTCACTGTTTATATGTTGATCTTATTTATCATTAGTCAAACAAATGGTAGTAAAATTATATTAATTAATTAATTATTGATTACTGATATTGGTTAACAGATTAACCAGTTTACACGGAAATAATTATTCAACTGCGTTATGAAAGCTGCCAATACAAGTGTCATCCATTCCAATTAGTAAATTATTTTCTCGAAAGATGGAATTGATGTACATTGTGTACATATTACACATACATAAAACATGTGTTTGTACATGAATACATGTGTTTGTACAAGCATACATGTGTTTGTACAAGCATACATGTTTTTGTACAAGCATACATGTGTTTATAAAATAAAATAAGAGTTGTCCAATAGAGTCCTAATGTACGATAAATTAAGTTCCAAATCCCCTAACCCATTTTCAAAAAATTTATAGAAACACACACTCACCCCTCACACACACACGCACACCACAAACCACAAACATGCACACAAAGCCACACACACAACCAAACCAGGCGTACCCACACACTTACTAACACACACACATACTTGTGTTTTATTTGTTAATCAGCATTGATGTAGTTGTTTTTATGAATAAGTTAACAAACCTACAAAAAACTGCTCTGTATACAATTTTCATCTTTTTCCTCTTACTGAATTTTTTCACGCATAGCAAGCCGGCCACAGAAATATTTTTCTGGATTACGTACACCGTAGAAACAGCTGATTTATTCCTAACTCGAACTCCAGCTACGTGTTCTGTCTGTCTGGTTACTGGCCGTCCCCACATGAACAGATTCCCATTAGGATTGGGACTTGGGAATGAGGATGGAATGAAGTGGATGGATGTAACTTTTTACACAGCCATGATATAACAGAATAATATGCACGGGTAGAATGTATATGCACATTATACGCATACACCATGAATATACACACACGCGTGAGCGCACGGACACGATGACAAACACGTTTCACATGAGTTGACGAGAGGCAAGTATGTGTGTTTTTTGTATGTGTGTTTTTGTGTGCGTGTTTGTGTGTTCGTACTTGTGTGTGTATGTATGTGTGTGTGTGCGTGTTTGTTTGTGTGTTTGTATTTGCGTGTGTATGTGTGTGTCTGTAGGTGCGTTTGTAATTAAATACGCAGCGTATTGATTCAATGGCGTAGTAATGCGGTCATGTATTATTCTCTTATAGATAAAATATACCCTGTCATGCTGGTTGGACTTCTAGGTTATATGTTGTCCTCTACTTAATTAATTTTCTAATTAATTGGAGAGGGTAATTTTTGTATGAATAATATTTTTTTTTGTGTCCGGTTATATAGTAGTTAAGTAACATGGCATTATCTAATTCATATCGATCGCAGATCATAATAAAAAAAACACAGACGCGCGTACATTTACACGCACACACAAAACACAGACACACACGCACACAGACAAACACACTCAGACACATGGTTTATATACACATACGTTGTTTTCAAAGTATACCATCAATATAATCTATTGCATTCTGCTCAAATTCCTCCACAGCTCTACGAATTAAATTATTTTTAATTGAATTATTTTTAATTATTTTAAATTTTATTTATTTTCGCAAACCAATTCTTTCATGAAGTATTGTCATTTTGTTATTTCGCAACGCTCTCCATCATCCTAAGAGATGCTATACATTATATGATGAGTTTATTTCGATTTTGATTGTGTAGGTTTTTGTTTGTCTGTGTGTGTGAGTCTGTGTGTGTGTTTGTGTATGTGCTGGCTGAAATTGAATTGTTATGAATTATTTTCATCATAAATTATCATAATAAAATAAATTGTAATATTAATATTATAAATTAATTATGTTAATTTCGTTATATAAATATATATTAATTAGTCTTCGTGTACGGGCATGACGTTTTGCAGTTATCTTACATCATAAACGAAGGTATGCATGTAGCAAAAATTAATTAATGAATCAATTTTATGAACAATGGCTCAAATAGCTGAAATTGAAATCTCACTTTTAGAGGTGTGTGATTGTAAGAATGATATGACGAATACACTTTTTAAACAATAAAAATTCAACTTTAACGATTGAATGGGAAAAAATAAAAGGATGAATAAATGAAATAGCATATGAATTAATGATTTAATGAACAAGCTAACGAAAAAATGAACGGACAAAAGATAATTAGATGAATGCATCCGCCCATGCATGCATGCACGCAAGCATGAATGAATTAGACCATTACATACACACATACAATCCCATTTGAATTGCATTATTTTCATATTGGGATAACTCTCTCCGGATTAACGTTAATGACAGTTCGGCACGATCATGATGATCGTTCCACGATTGTCTTTGCCATTTTAGTTATTTTGAAAGTTTATTTTTTTTTATGTTTGCGTTTTAAAATAAAATTTATTTAATGAATTCTAGTTAATATTTATGTAAGATAACACACACACTCTCACACACAACACACACACAAACACAAACACACACACAACATAACACACAAACACATATATAAATCCATAGATTTCTATAATGTAATAATGGTTGATGATGTTTAAATGTCTTTCCGTTTTCATCTGCAATAACATTTCCTAACATGTTCACTCACGATCAATATATAAAAATGACAAATGAATCATATGCGCAAATGATACCTATATATATCGATCATTATTTACATAATGTACACACAAAGACACACATACACACACAAATACACACTCAGACAACCATTTGTGTGTATATATATACACACACAGTATATATATTGTACTTAAGTACTGTATTCATTTTGATTCAAAATAGTGACAGTTTAATGATTTTTATTATTTCAATATATTAAAAAACTTATTTGAAAGAATTCAGGAGACGCCATATATAAAAATGTATGGATGTATAATGAATATTTATTTAAATAGATATAATATATGTATGTGTGCGTATATGTGTGTATGGTTGTGTGTGTGTTTATGTGGGTGTTTGTATTCACGTACATCTGTATATGTATGTATGTTTCTTTGTTTGTATGTATGCACGTAAGTATGTATGCATGTATGTATATTTTTAGTAGCAATCATCATTTACCATTGTTAAACTTAGCATTTATTTGTATTTAAAAATTTGAAAATTTTTTTTATCATTGTTTTAAAGCGAATTTATTTAATTGTCTACGGATGAAATAAATGAAGTAAAATTATTTAAATTTTGTTTCTTAGATAAAGATTTAAAATGACATCATACTGTTTAAATTTTCTCAGAAATGTTTAACATTTATCACAAAAATTGCACTAATCAATGAATTATTATATACAAATTATATTCATATTTTCTTGAATTAAAAAATCTTAGAGTAAAACTATCAAAATGGTTTCTTCAATTCATTAATTTTCAATGAATTTTTTGTGTTTGTACATGAATTCGTTTGTCTGTTAGTGAATTATAGAGAACTTAACATATACATATATAAATGTGTATATATATATATATATATATATATATATATACATATACACACACACACATGTATACACACATATACATATGTATACACACACACATACATACACACATAAATTCAATCATTCCAATATATACAAACACGTACATACAATTGACTATAGACACACACATACACAATGGTACACACAAACTCACGCATATACACAAACACAAAAACATACCGACACACACACTGACACGCACAAATAGACTCAAAATACTGAAATACATAACATCATACAATGTATTTGAGCTGTTTTTTTACAGTAAATTACTTATGAATAAACATATAAACATAAAAAAGAAGCATTTTGTTTAAATATTATTAATACACAGACATACATACACATATACACATACACTCACACACACAAAAAACACACACACACACACAGAAACTCACAGGCACATACAGAAATTAACATTTTCTCGTAATCAACACTAAGATTGCCAAGTTTCCAAAAGCAGCATTGACACAAAACTATAAAATTTTACAGCGAAGACTCCACAAAAAGTTGCATGATGATGCATTTGAACATACAATAGTAGCATAACATGCATGCATACAAACTTCTTATATATACAGATACAGATACATACGATGAATATATACATACAAACTTAGAAAAACATGGTCGCGTTGAATGATTGAATAAATTGAAACAACTAAAAAATGAAAGAGTACTGATTGATTATATTTAATTTTAATCTAAAAAATCTAAAAATTTTTTTTTCCTATAAATCTTTACGTAAAAATGAAATTATTTCAAGTTTGAAAATCATAAAACAAGTGAACAAAGTGGACAGTTCTATCTAATTACATAACACTGCGATAAAGAAATGATAAAAGATTAAAGTACACAAGGAAATAATTCGCATACAATATTATTCACATATTGGGATGCGTTTTAACAAAAATCAAAAAGTGTCGGACTAGTCAACCAGTTAGCTCAATGGCAAAATTAGCACTGACATTATAGAAAAAATTGTAAAAAATACTCACATTCACAATAAAAACGAGATGAATTAATATCATTTATGAGAGATGGAGTCAAACGGCATAGGTGCTGCTGCAAGAAACTCGTCACCAACTCCAGCACATTCATGCAAGAGGAAACGAATAAAAAAAAGACATCATATTCCATTCTTAAATTTTATTTTCTTTCTCACGGAATTTATTAAAATTATTTTCAAAATTATAATTTATCTATTTTTTGTTAGTTCTCCAAGTTAGACTGCATCTACTGCCTACTTTACGTAATATTTCACTAACGGTCAAACGTTGAATATAAATATAGCACTGCAATCAAAGTCTTCCAATCGAATTCTGAATCAATAGCTTCATCTCCAAATCTGTACTGGCATTGCATTTCTTCAATTGTTCCATTTTGATTTGTTATCATTGCTAGTATGAGGACACATCTCACCATGTTCACTTCGCCTAACTGCGTCATCATCGTTGTCTCGTCACAAACGCACAGTACTTTTTAATCTTCATCACCAGTTTCTTTTTTTACTTTTCTCTCTTCATCATCTTCATCATCGTCATCGTCATCGGATGACCTTGAAGCCGATTTGACCCTGGCAAATGTCAAGTTCAGTTGCTTTAGAGCGGTTTTGAAGATGATGGAAGCTTCGTGGTGCGTCACAGATCTCATGTCGACGTCATTCGCTCTCAAAATTTGGTCGCCTGGTAACATGATGCTTTCGGCGTCTGATGATGTACCCCTTATCTAATGATGATAGAGGTGATGGTGATGAGGATGATGAAAATGATGAAGATAGTGGTGATGATGAAGATAGTGATGGTGATGACGACGATGATGACGATGAAAAGAATGATAACGATTGTTAGTGGTGTAATCAAAGGTTGATGTGTGCTCTATATCATCACGACGACAGAGATGGTATAACAAATTTAAATGAAATTAATAAACAAAATTAAAACTATCAAATAAAAACCAAGCAGTTAATAAGAAGAGAGACTGACAATGTCAGATACAAAGACCCCTTCATTCTTCCCTCTTACAACGAAACAGAAACCGAAACCACGACTGGACTTTTTGCTGATGGAGGCCTGAATAATATCATAGGCATCTCTCTCCGAGATAGGTCTGGACTCGCGAACTACCTGAAAACTTACCTGTATTGAAAAATTAATCATTTTATCATCAATGTTACACCCATTCAATATCACCTTCATAACTTCGTCATCCCGTACTCGACACGTCATTCTTGTTATAATAAAATAAACATTTTTTAGTCCAAAAGTTTAACGGATTGTGAAACTGACGCATATTCATTCTACAAAAATAAAAATTGTGGCAGACATAAGAACATGCTAGCCAAAAAAAATATACAATGAGAATTTACTATGCATAAGAACATGTTAGCCAAAAAAAAATATACTATACAAAAATTATTAATGCTAAAACTGGTCACTCGCACTTTATAACTACTGACAGAAAAAGCCATAGTTTTATTCGCACATGTCTAAATTTACCATGCCTACAAACTTATCAACAATGTGGCCATAATTTTATTTCGTGATCGCCATCATCGTTGTTGTCATCACCATAGCGTTATAGTTCTATTTGTTATCACATTATTATCGTCATAAATGGCGTGAAAATCTAACGGAGGAGGTCGTTTGTCTTCGAAGCATGTCGTTGGCGTAGTCGTCTGTCGCATGTCGCAAGCATTTGTCGTTGATCTGTTGGTGGTGTGGTGTGGTGTGGCGGGGTGTGGTGTGGAGTGGCGTGGTGTGGCGTGGCGAGTAAACAATGATGACGGCATGCTTGTGGTGTTGATGCATTAATGAAATTGTTTGATGAACCTGCCGGTAAAAGAAATGAAGTACTATTTTTCATTATTCAGGGTTAAATTGAATAAACAACATCATCATAATACAAATGATGCAAAAATGTCATCATCATCATCTTCATCATCATTGTCGTCATCATCAATATCGTTGTCGTCGTCATCATTATCAACCATCGTCATTATCATCATCATCATGACCTGCAATATTTTATCCCCGATCTTCAACCTGGCGTCCCTATGGACAGCCCCACCCCTGAAGATATCGTGTATGTACAGGTACCTCTGTGTATTTTGTAATAACAACAACAACAGTAATAATACAAATATTAATACAAATAATAATAACAATAATAGGTATTTCAGTATAAATATCAGAAATGAAAAATAACTAGTAACAAATGTACTAAGAATGAGTGCACTCTTCAGTGAAAGAATGTAACAATACAGCATGACATTATAGCAAACTGACGAGAATAATATGGAAAAGACAACTGACACACTGGACAACAACGCCAAAGACGTTATCATTGAAGATGTTCATGAAGACGATGATGGTGATGAAAATGTCGACGATGATGATCTGATAATGATAATGATCATGACACAATGTTATCGTCTTTTTAGTTGGAGTAGTAATAGTAGTAGTAATAGTAGTAGTAGTAGTAGTAGTAGTAGTAGTAGTAGTAGTAGTAGTAGTAGTAGTAGTAGTAGTAGTAGTAGTAGTAGTAGTAGCAGCAGCAGCAAGGCAACAAGAGCATTAGTAGCCACAGTGGTAGTAGTAGTAGACGTAGTAGTAGTGATGGTAACAGCAGCAGCAGCAGCAGTAGTGGTAATAGAAACGCACCAGAAGCGTCGTCACACCACCGACCACTTCGACTCCAAGGCAGAGGTCCTTCTTGTCAACTGTAATCCACGTTGGTTTGTCGTATTCAATTTGATGAATTGTCGTTGAAACGTTGCTGTCGTCGTCAAAGTTGTTGTGGTTGTTGTTGTTATTGATGTTGCTGCTATTGTTTGTGATGTTGTTGGGAGATTTTGTGTTGTTGTTGTTGTAAAATTTGTTCGCGTTTTTTATGTCGTCGCGATTAGATGTAGAATGAGGATTGGTTGTCGCAGATGTAGTTTGTTGTGGGAAAATTTTTGATGACGACAACGATGTAGCTGAAGTTGTAGTTGCAGACGTTACTACAGAGGACCTTGATGATATGATGGTTGTCGTTGTTGTCGCAACGGTAAGGCACTGATTTTGCTCGAGTTGTTGTTGTTTTTGAAATTGTCGTTGTTTTTGATTTTTTGTTTTTGAGTAATTAACATATTCGACGCCATTTATGATATTTCTGACATTGTTACTCCTACTGTCAACGTTAATGTCAATATGGTTATCGTCCGTTTGTGTCTTTTCGTTAGAATAGCTGTTGTTGTTGTTTTTGTTGTTGTTGTTGTTGCTGTTGTTGTTATTGTTATTGTTGTCATTTTCATTTACATCAACGTCCATGCTTTCCAATCTCAGCAAGTAGAAAGTCACGTGATCTGTAGATTGATTGACAAGTGACGCAATGATCGGTGTTGAGCTGAGGTGATTGGTTGTCATCAGCGATTGGTTCTTTACCTTTTCGTTTTCGTGGCAAACAACATGGAGAAGTTGATAACATGGAAATAAAATATTACGTGTAACTAATTAATTAATTAGTTTATTAATTAATTAGTTTGCATTAATGTCATATGTAATTTGAATTAATGTCATATGTTATATGTTTTCGAATGAGTTACCTGTATGATTTGATCCCGAACTTGAAAGCCTCCATTTAAATGTGCAATGCCATTGGGTAGAATTTTCTCAACAAAAACTCCACTTGAAAAACGATTCCCAGCCAGTTGCAGTCCAAGTTTTTTATTAAAAAGATTTTCGTTCACGGGTGATTCGAGGTTCTTTTTGTAGTTGTTGTCAGTAAAGTTGAGCGAACGAGATTTGATCAAAGATTGTCCATTTGTTGAATGTTCATTATTGACAAGTAAAAATGATTTAGACATTGAAATGTCGATGTTGTTTGTTGTGTTGTTTGTCGTGCAGTTTGTTGTGTTGTTTGTTGGGTGGCTGGTTGTGTTGCTCGTTTCTGGTGTTGCAATGTTACCAGGCTGAAGCATTCCGCAATAGTTGCATGTTGATTTGTTGTTTTTGTTGACGACAACTTTTATAATTTTATACCTCAATTTAGGATTTTCTGGAGTGAAAAAATTATATTGGATAAATGTCAAGAAAGTGTTGTGTTGAATTGCATCAGTTCTGATAATGTTGTTAGATGAACGGACAAAATGGGATGTTTCTAGCATTAATATAAGACAATTAACCATAAATTCGTAAATATATTTCAAACTCTTGAACTTCAAAAGTTCTTGGCATTATTAACAGCACTATTTAGGTTTAATAGGCACAAACGTATTAAGAAACAAACTTAGGCGCAATGTACGCACGAAATACACATTAACAACTGGAAACATATACACTTGAAACATTTTTTTTGCTGACTAGAAAATAACTTTTCGTTAAAAGTTAAACTGCTAAAATATTTTATTTCTATGCAAAGTAATGAAACAAATAAACAAGAAGAAACGGATGAAACGCAAAAAAATAAATGAAAAAGAAAAGAATGAAGAAGAAAAAATGAATGAATGAAGAGAAGAACTAACTGACCACTCGCCTTCATCTCGACGAGTTTGATGTCCCTCAAGTGCATCTCCTTCCTACATTGCAGTGAACAGGCATCTATCGTTCTGCATTATGGCATCGCATTACATTCAATGAATTCGTTTCGCTTTTAACGCCGATTTTTAAATTTTGATTTGAATGCTATTTTTGAGAACTAAGTTTGGAACTTTCGAACAAAACGCTGAAAAGACCAAAATTTTTTATTAAAACGAAAAAAAGCGAAACAAAAGATATTTTAAAAATAATTTTTATAAACGAACACAAAACGAAATGAAAAAAAACTCAAACATAAACGTATCAAATTTTAATTTTTAAATAAATTCGAATCTTTATTGGACATAAAAACTTGAAAACAAATCATGGAAATAATCTGTCATGGCTTTAAAATACTGAACTGACATGTATTAACAGTTAGACAAAAGCAAAAAAAGTAATAAAATATCTGTAAATATAATTATGTATTTATCATATATAAGCTTTTAAATATATATAGGAAAAAAAACAGAAAGTGTTTTTGATTCATCCAGCCATCCGATATTAAATTGTAATTGTATGTTGGTGTATGTTTGTCTGTCTGTCTGTCTGTGTAGGCTTGGATGTGTGTGTGTGTGTGTGTGTGTGTGTGTGGTGTGTGTGTAAGTGACTTACTCAGTTTTAACGTCATCATAGACGCCATCATCACTCTTATCGATGTTTAATTTCTTCATGTAGGGTAACAATTTTGAAGATGGTATGGACGTCAAGCTGTCGAAATATATGCATAGTAATGTTAAAATATATTTTTAGCAATAATAAAACACACACATATATATATATATATATATATATATATATATATATATATTTATTTATTTACATTCGAACCTGGACACTACATGAACAATGCCAAGCACCTTAACCATTGCATCATCGTAGCAACCAATAATAAATAATCTTGATAAACAACATCCCACCACTCCACCTGACCTGATGACATCTCCGACGAGTGCGGCCCTCCTCAAGATCGACTTGGCCTGGAAGTTGCTGACCCCTCTTAAGGTCTCGTTGTTGACGTCACAGATGACGTCATTGATTGACAGGCGACCGTCTCTTAAAACGGCACCGTTGCTGATGTTCTTGATGACGCAACCGTGGCTGGTAGGCGTGGCTTCGATTGAAAGTCCTTTAGGGTGATTAGTGGAATATTTTTTGATTGACATGAATATTTCATTTTAATCCGACCACCTAACAACTAAATGAAAAGGAGACAAGACCAAAAAAAGTAGGAGTAACATGACAAGAGTAAAAAATTTTTAAGTTGAAAATAAGAAAACAAAATCACTTTTCATTACATCAGCAACATTACTAACAACATCAATAACAATAACAAAAAACAACATCACGGAGAACGAACCCAGAGGCATAGTTCCCTTACAGATATATATCTTCTGCTCCAAATACTTCGGAATACGTTCCAGCTTCATCAACATGGTCGCCATCAGTGATAACGATGATGACGACGGTGATGATGATGATGCTGATAATGATGACGATTGGAATGGTGGTGTTCTCAGTGACGAAGATAGTGATAATGATGATGATTGAGTTGTTGTCGTTTGTTCGGGTAATTGCGATGTGGGACGTTGATTTTGTTGCTGCTGCTGTTGTTGTTGTTGGGTGATGAGAAATGGTCTGTATTGCTGCTGCTGCTGATGCAATTGCTGTTTTAATATTCGTTCTAGGGAACCATCATTCTCTTCAGAAGGCGAAAATTGAGCTTTAATCTAAATTTAAATTCTAAATTATTTTCACACTGAAATGGTTCAAATGAAAAAAAAAACAAATTCAATCGAATTAGTTATAAGCATTAATTTAAAATGATTGTTTTGTACGCATATCAAATTGTTCCAGGTTGGCCACGCAGTGACCAGCTTCAAAAGCAAGCTGAGAAGCATTAAACCACCTAATCATTGTAATAAAAAATGTAATACTTTGATTGGAAGTTTTGGCTTTGGTAGTACCTCGGGTCTTGATGGTTTAGTTGTTGATGTTGTCGATGTTGTTGTTGTTGTTACCGTTTTAATTGTTGGTGGTGGCGTTGTTAACGTAGATAATACTGACGTTGTTTTCATTTCGTTTTTTAAAATTTTTGAATCGCTGATGAATGAAGCTGTTTTCATTGTCGTGGTTGTTGTTGAAATGTTATGTTTGTCGTTGTTGATGCTGTTGTTGATGACGTTATCGTCGTCATTTTTGTTTTTGTTGTTGTTGATGTTTTTGCCAGAGAAATTATTTCTGTCCATACGTTCATCGCTTAATTTCTTCAGTGCTGGAAAACTTTTGCTGATGCAATTAATGCTGTTGCTAGCAGTGTTGGTGTCGTTGTTGTTAGTGGCATTGATATTTACAGCAGCAGACATAGTTGATCTGCTGCTAAGTGCAGTCTTAGGAATAGTATTGTGATTAAATTTATTAATGTTATTTATGCCAGTCAAGTTGTTGGTATCAAAATTATTATTTTTGTAATTAAATTTGTTGTTATTGTTGCTCCTAGAAAGTTCGATTAAAGCGGAAGAAGTGATGGTCGATTGAGGCGTGGACGAAGAAGAAGAAGATGATGATGAAGTGATCACGTGAGACGATGACGATTGAGGAAGACGGCGTGACGTCACATCCGCAAACGTTGATGATAATGATGATCGAATGGATGGCAAAGATGATTTTGACGATGTCGATGAAACAGAAAAGGATAATGATAACGGATGTGTCTGTTTGGACGACGGTAAAGATGGTAACTTTTTAGCCGGTGATGTCACGCTCGGTGATGACGTCATCGTTTGTTGGAGAACGGACGTTGATTCGGAGTTCTTGAAATAGTTGTCAACGTGGAAAAAATATAATGAATGAATTTATAGCGCATTTGTGGACGATTATAAGTCATAAAATTTTTAAATACCACCGGTATGGTCCCATAACTGTATTTGAACTATAGTAATTTAAATAACAAAAATTAAGAATTTTCAAAGCACAACAATTTAAAAGCAATTAAAAATACATATACATTTAATTTCAAATCTATTCTTTGAAAAAAACCAACATCATCGTGATCTTCATTCTTTCTCACATTTGCACCACCACTTTTACCGCTACCAGATTTGCCGCCACTGTTGACGACAACCACAGGTTGCGGCTTCAAGACACCCATGACCACTTTTCCTTTCGGGATACTTTTGAGAGCCTCGACCGCTACATCGAGGGTGGTGTTGTACAGACTAACCTCATTGATGAACACCAGTCGATCCCCCGGCAGGATGAGCCCTGTTTGGTGGGCCACACCTCCTGGCACCAAACTTCTGATCACTATCATTGTGTTCCCCGGCTTCAGTGGGTCCTAGTCAAAAAATGTGTGCGCATGTGTGCGTGCATGTTTTTGCACGTGTGATTCAGAAAAATATATAAAACTTTTAACGAGAAGTTTCACTCTACCATGGTCATAAATAACCCACTTTCTCAACTTCAACATCTCACCTGGTAATCCAGTATGCTGAAGCCCAAGCCTCCATCCCTTTTCAGCATCTCCACGATGACGACCTTGTCAGACCATACTCCAAATTTCGACATTGGTTCCAACGATTTTGATCTCACTCTGTTAATTTGATTGGAAAACCCCAGCTGGGAAAGTTCAGAAACATTTTTAGAAGAGTCTAAAGTCTCAGGAATGGTGTTTTTAGAACCGAAACTATTTTCATAGTTGTCGTCATCGATGCTGCTGATTTTGTGGAATTGTTTTGCTGTTGTTGCTAATGACGGTGACGAGGAGTCGTCGTTGTTGTTGTTGTTGTTCTCGGAGATGACTGCGTAAGGATTATGTTGCTTATGTGCAAGCGCGTGCGAGGTTTTTGCGTTTTTGATTAGCTCGATGTCTGATTTCGCTTTCAATTTGTGATCTATTGTGATGGGAAGATTTGTTTTAGATTGTGGTTGTTGGGGCTTTTGAATTTGAATTTGCTGTTGTTGTGGCTTCTGCTGTTGCTGCTGTGGTTGTTGTGTCTGTCGTTTGTTCCTCCTTGCAACCACGATGCAAACGTTTTGCGGCAACTCTTTCAATGTTGATACAACCAGCATACGATCCATGCCATAAAAATTTATTCCATTTACCTGGTGTTTATTTGGAACATTACAATATTAAAAATAATCTTTTGTTCAGTAATTCAGTCCGCTGATCATTTATCACCTGTCCTGCAGTTCATCACATCAACATGACAACATTTCTTAATATACCTTTTGCTTCAAAATCATCCATTGCTCATACACCAGCAAACATTCATTCACTTGTTCGCAAATCGACCAATCCATCTATCCAATCATTCATCCATTCAAACGTTCATTCATCCATCTTTCAATCTATCCATCTACCCACCAATCTAACCAACCTCTAGTAGCTCATCTCCGACTTTCAACTTCCCATTGACGGCAATGGGGCCTCTGGGGTAGATGGATCTGATGTAGTGGTGGGGATGGCACTCCCGACCCGCCTCATCCACGTCCACGGTACCCTCCAGACTCATGCCCACTCCCCCTCGTTCCTTCAACTTCATCACGTTTGCCACCTGTTGCGTTTGAGAGAATTATTTTGTATTTAAGTGAGTTCATCTTATTCATGAAAATTATCTTCCTCAACGTCATCATTTTAATTTCTTCACCGCCAGAGATGACTTCATCGTCTTTCAAAATGTACGACATCATCATCGAAAGCAACTTTGCTGCAGACGTAATTATTTCCATCATCTTCGTCGTCGTCGTCGTCATAATCATTATCTTCTTCGTACATTTATATGGTAATTGAAAACGCAGATAGAATTGAGAATATCAATGGGGCGATTGATTGATAGATGGAGGGATGGATAGAAAGATAAGTAAATGAGTAAAATGATGAATGACTGAGCGAACGTGGAATTGACTGATTGAATGAATGAATGGAAAAATGAGCTAACGGTTGAATGGAGTGATTAATTATTTAATAAATTTATAATCTAAGACCGACACGCCTACTGAAATAACGACTAACAATAATTTCGACATCGTTACTAGGACCGCTGTTATCATCATCATCATCATGACCATCGTCGTCGTCGTCATCATCGTCAGCATTTTCATCAGCCTGCAATATTGCTTTCCACTTGTTCACGAGCAATTCCTCACTCTGATGACAAATCCTCTCTGTGCGGTAGCAACCATGATGATGATGATGATGACGATGACGATGATGACGTTAATGATTATGGTGATCAGGATGATGATGACGACGATGATGACAACAACGATAAAGATAATAATGACGACAACTTTAGATTAAAAATTTAGAATGGGGAAAGTGATAAAGCAGATGAGGAAACCAACGCATTGGGAAAGCCATTCTGATCATCACAATGATAACATAAAAATCGTCCTCGTCATCATTGCCATCATCATCACAACTATCATCATCACGAACGTCTCATCACCTTCATCATCATCCTCATAGCAACAAACCTATCAGCTGCAATGAATACTGCATGTTACTACTTCGACGCCGTTCGTCGCTACCCTGTGGTTGTGGCTGCTGTGGTTGTGGCTGCTGTGGCTGTTGTGGCGGATGTTGAGGCTGTATTTCATTGTTGACTACTTGATTGCCAAGAACGTTAGTGAGACTGCTCTTGCTTAGCATCGAGTCGATTGGCAGTGCTAAGTGTTGGAGAAACATACTGATGGACATAATTCCACATGAATCAAATTTGGACTGAAAGTGTTTTTTATTCTCTGAATTCGTTTCCAGGTTAATTGAAATTTCCAAAGCATTCACACATATCGTCATTAAAACAATAGTAAAGTGACACAAACGACCAATAAAATGGAAGTTGAATGACATTGCCACAACCACAAAAACAACGGGAACTCCTACACTTACATGAGCACCTCATCAGCTGTTCGTACTTGCTGCCCTGGAAGAAACGAACCACCTTCAACTTGACCCTATGACCTGTCAACCTCAATATCTCTACTGATTCCTGATTGGTCAGCCCTTTCAGTGGTTTGTCGTCTACCTGGTGGTAGTCGAGAAGTAATAATAATAATGAGAATTCTTTTATTTCTTCAAAAGCAAAATATAAATTAAAATTACAATTAAATATTAAATGATCAAATATTTTAATAGTTAAAAGATTAAAATAATGGATAATTTAACATCAATGCTCGTCATTATGAATGTGTACAAATGGGATGTAATAATATAAAAACTAGAGTCAAGCTTTATTTCTGTCACAATATATTGCGTAAGTAAATGCTATCGCAGAATTGATTAAGCTAGATCTAAAATCGTCAAACCAGTTTATTTTAGTTTGAGATAATTTGAAATAATAATAATAAACCATTATAATAAAAATTACAAATATTTCAAATATAAAAATATAAGAAGTAATTATTGTAATTAACATTAAGAACACCCAAAAATTAACAAAAAGCACACACATACACACATACATACATACATAAATACATACATACACACATACATACATACATACATACATACATACATAAATACATACATACATACATACATACATACATACATACATACATACATACATACATACATACATACATACATACATACATACAATACATACACACAGCCTAAACAACAAGCAAACAACAAAGCACTGATCTAAAATACAGACTTGAATTATTTGGTCGTTAACTTGGAGTCTGCCATCCAGACGAACGATGCTATCGTGAGCTATGCTTCTTATGAATATGCCTGTTAAATCATCTGCATATGTTTGTTTGTAATTGTATGTATACATGCATGTTTGTGTGTATTTGTATGTATGTATGTTTGTGTTTGTATAATGCGTGTATGAATTTGCTAGTTGGAGAGGTTGATTTTGATTCGCATATTTTTTATATGTTTAGCTAATTCTTGACTGTTTCAAAAAAAGTTTGAAGATACGGTTGAATATGCATATATATCGAGTTGACGGCTGAATGATTCATCACAGCATGAATATCTGCCAGTAAATATTGGTAAGTGCAAAACTATATGATGTGGACTCCTACCTGAGTGAATGTTTTGGTCGGCGGTCTAGATATTATTGGTATGATTCGGTCAAGAAAGACAATTTAAAGGGGCTATGTTAGTTTTTTGTCCAACAATGTTGCTTTTGTTTATACGTAGAAAAACTCATTTTTTCAAGTAAACAACAAATTTCTGCGTGCACTTCTGCGATAAAAAAGTCTGCCGTCAGATGTACACAAATTTTCAAAGCATACGGTTCTAGTAAGTGCCAAACGTCCATCAATGCAGTCATAAACGACGCTTGGCCATCGTCATTACATCCATCCTACGCGTGACGTCATCATCGCCATTGTGTATAACCACCATCATCATCATCATCGCCATCGTGTATAACCACCATCATCATCATCGCCACCGTGTATAACCACCATCATCACCACCATCTTGCTGACGTAATAATCATTATCGACCAATTTATTATCGATAATAAAACCATTAATACCACTTTTACAAGTTATGTATCATCATATGATATCATATATCATCATCATCGTCATCATCACCACCATCACCATCATCATCATTATCAGTACCATCTCCCATAGGCTCGTCACTGCTGTACCCAACAACGGTTATTCCAAGGCCATTCTCGTCCTTCAACAAGTCCACTTCGATAGTGCTCCATTCCTCCTCCTGTTGTTGTTGTTGTTGTTGTTAACGTTATAGTTGCGTCGTTGTTAATGTTATTGGTTGACACTGTTGATGTTGTTGTTGCTGATGTTATGGTTGACGATCTTGTTAATGTTATAATTGGCGTTGTTGTTAATGCGTTTTGATGTGTGTAGTTTATGATGTAGCTGTTATTAAGAAGCGAGTTCTTGATTTGTGTGATGTTAGTTAAGTTTTCTAAAGCATCCTATTCTGTTGTTTAGCATTTTTTCTTATGTTAATGTAACCATTGATGACATTAGTAATGCTAATTTCACATACAACTACATTGTTAATGTTTTGTTTTTATTGTTAGTGTGTGTTTATAGAAATGATCATGAATATGTTAATGTGTAAACAGAAAAGATCATGAAAATGTTAATTGAAATAACAATTTTATAAACTTGAAAATTTGATTATCTTCTGAGAATGAAAAAAAAAATTATTGAAAAAAAAATAGAAAATTTGCTCTAGTACATTCGGTGTAAAGTAGAAGTAATAAAATTTTTTTCAATAAAAAAAATTTAATTATTGCCTTTTTATTGTAACTACTGACATTGTCAGAACTTGTTGTTGTTGTTATTGTTGTTGATGTTATCGAGGTTGTTGCAGCTATTAATGTCAATGCTGTTGACGTAGGTGTTGTTGTTGTTGTTGTTGGCAACACTGTTGAAATGTTTGTGTGAACGCGTGTGGCTGAGTTAGTTGGGAGATTGTTATTAGCACCTTCGATATCATTGTCTTTGTTTTTATTTACATTAGCTGACGTTGATGTTAATGGCAGCAATGGAATGTTATGGATAAGCGGTTTTGTTGTAGTTGTCGTTGATGAATTTTTAAATTTTGTTGTTGTTGTAGATGGTGACGAGGAAGACGATGATGACGAGGACGTGAAAAACCCTGTATTAGACGAATTTGTTTTGTTGGCGGGAATGTGTGTTGTAGTAGTTGTTGTTGTTGTTTGATGTTGTGGTGTTTCAAGATTGTCAGATGACGAAGTTTCAAAAACAGTTGCTAGTGACAGCCGTTTCACGGGTTTTGAGGAGACAGTCAGCGTTACTGGTTGTGCTGATGATGTCGCAAGATTTGTTGTTGAATTTGATGTCGTTATTGTTGTCGATTTATTAAGTTTCGCAACGTTAGGGTCGGTAGGCGATGTTGAAAGCGATGAATGTTGTTGTTGTTGCTGTTCTTGCGCTGTATTTTGAGAGTTGTTGGTATTTATTTTGTTGATGTGATCAACACTCAAGACAGGCAAAACCTGACCAATGTGACTCATCTGATGGTGCTGGTACTCATGCTGATGTTGCGTATCTTGCTGTTGATGTTCAAGAAAATATTGTTGCTGTATTTGAATCTGTTGCTGCAACCGTTCTTCAACATCGAGCAACAGACTACCGTCGGCATTGAAACTTGTCAAATCGACCACATCGGGATATGTAGATAGCAACATGTTCAGGTGATCAATGTGTTGGTTCATTTGCTGAGTGGGTACGATCGGGGCCCATATATTTCCACTTCCCATCATTTCATCTTCATTCTCTCCAGCACCTCTTCCGAAACTCGGTTCAACCACTGACCTGGCTACAAGAAGTCTCACGTGACTTCCTGACTGACGAAGGACGGCTGCCACTTGCTCGGAAGCCAGGCCTCGGACGTTCACATCACAAATCTGCAAGATGTGATCGCCACTCCGAAGGCGCCCATCCTAGGTTGCATCAGTGATGAACGTGAACTGACGAAAACAACCGCAAAATTTTAAAATATACACTCATCAAACAGCCATACAATCACAACAGACGCCCACAACACAAACAAAACTCGAACAAAACAAAACATAATACACATCCTCAAACAAACAAACAAACAAACAAAAAAAACCAAACAAACATGTTTATTAACAATTCACTTACTACGACACAAACATCGGCACACAACAACACACAGCAGCAACATACAATGATACTACAACGACACCACAGCCACCCACTCGATCAGCAACGCCCCCTGCCACGATGGTCTTGATGACAACCCCTGTGCTCTTGCCCCCGATGATTCCGAACCCCAACCCAGTTCCGTCATTCAGCAGGTTGATCACTTCCAATTGACACCACTCCGTGTTCAACTGTCGTGTTTTTGTCATGAACAGGATGATGATGACGTGATGGGATGACGTTGACAAGGACGTGACGTCATAATGATGATGATGACGATGTGAAGTAACGGTGATGATCGTAAAAGTAATTTTATGATGATGGTGAAAATTACACCAATTTTAATGAATCTAATAGGATGGAGTAAAGATGTTCTCTTCACATTACAAAGGACTCCAGAAGTTTATGGTTAATTTTGCCGCATGCAATAAATGGAAGTGATATAAAACAATCTAAAAATAACAAAACAATAAAAATAAAACAAAATGATATAGTAGAAGTGATAGTAAAATATTCATTAAAGCCAATAAATGTTGAAAAAAATGATGATTAGGGATGATGTGATGACAATGAGGGAAAGAAATATGATGGGTATGAGATTGCACGAGTGATTGGTGATGGCGATGATGTACGTGATTGTAATGGTGTTCTGTTAAAGCACCACAATTTTGATGGTAAAGTAGCAAAAAAAATAGATTGAAAACAATGATGGTTGAAAATTTGAAGATGAAGATGTGTGAAATTTGATCAGAATGATGCTTGCAAAGATGATATGATGTAGAGAATATGGAAGTAATGATGATTTCAAGATTGATAATAGAATTTTTTTAGATTTAAAATGGTAACATTACGTAACTCTTAATCATTTATTAAAACCAAACAATAATTTTTAAAGAAATCTTAGATGACTCATAAAGAAAAATTCAATAGCTTTGAAATTGTTTTTAAAGAAAATAAATAACTGAAATTGTTAACCTATCCTACACTATGACGTCAAATTAATTTATGGCTATTATATTATTATCCATCATACATAATGATTACTAATTATAACATTTTTACATAGATCTACATATAAATAAAATCTTACAAATCAAATGATTTTACATATCTATATTTCCATATATCCATAGGAGAGTTTCGTTATTTGAAATTTTTTTTCTAAGTTTTAAAAAAAATTTTAATATGAAATCCACATGTGGTAAACAGATGGTTCAGACACGCAGCAGAAATACAAACAAGCATTATAAATATCCACATACGTGCAAACACACAAACATACAAACACACAAACAGACAAACATACAAACACACAAACAGACAAACACACAAACATACAAACACACAAACATACAAACACACAAACATACAAACACACAAACATACAACGACGAATTCAAAGGAGCAGGTATAAATAAAAACATTTTTTTCTCTTTTTCACATCCAAAAATTAAATTTTAAACATACACACAACACATGTACTGTACACACAGGCATTAATCCATGTGTAAATCTTGGTAAATGCCCACAGTTTTGAAACGTAACTGGCATCATACGTAAGACATATTTAAGGAAACACATGTGACTGTACAATGTTGTACACACACGCATGTGTATGTGTGTGGTTTGTGTGTGTGTGAAAGTGGGAAGTATGTGCTGCTATGCTTGAATATGTATGTTTGCACAAGACTGCCCTTGCAAGCACGTATCAATACATAGCCACATAATTCCATTTTGTGCGTACAGCTAACGTTTCTATGTGATGATGGATGACACTGTTCCAAGGAATAAAAAATTAAAACTGTTTCATTCATCATAACGGTTTCCTCTTTCTCTCTCTCTCTCTCACACACACACACGCACGCATACGCGCGCGCACACAGGCAAACAGAACTTGGAATATAATGCTTAGCACTAGACATTAATCATTGCTAGTATGTTTATTTACGCGAGGTGAGATCATAATTCTCTCAATTCATCTATTATTCCACACGATATTTAACAAAAAATAGCACATTTAATTTACCGGTTTCATTTCATTTCTAAAATGATTACAATGATAATAAAAATGACTAAAATGACGATGACGTCAAACCTGGTCAAACTAAAAGTGAATGAACCGGCGAAGAAATTCAATTGCGTCCCTCACGAAACAATAAAACCTAAAATTTGTTTTTTTTTTGTTATCGTCGGCTTCACCATCTCACACGGATTATTATTATTAGTAGTAGTAGAAGCAGCAGTAGCAGTAGCAGTAGTAGCAATTGTATCAACTATAGTAGCAAAAGCAGCCTTAAAAGTAGTAGTAGTAGTATAGTAGTAGTAGTAGTAGTAGTACTAGTAGTAGTAGTAGTAGTAGTAGTAGTAGTAGTAGTAGTAGTAGTAGTAGTAGTAGTAGTAGTAGTAGTAGTAGTAGTAGTAGTAGTAGTAGTAAGAATATGAAAAAAGGTTCGGGTAATAAAAATAATAATGGATAGTTTGTTTTAGTGTTATAAAGGTAGTAATATAAATGCTAATGAGTATCGTATCAAGCATTAAATGAGTGATAAAAATTCTTAATAAACATTTGTTGTCATCATTCAGTGACCTATCTAACATGAGTTACTATTTATTGTATGTTTCTATATGTGTATTTGTGTATGCATGTGAGTATGTATGTGTGTGTGTGTGTGTATGTATGTGCGTGTGTATATGTGTGTGTGTGTGTGTCCATATATGGATGCATCTACAAATTGATTTATAAAATTATTGAATTGTACATTTATATATAATAAAATTTCATTCCTTCATTGGCGGGCATGAGCAAGTTTTACTCGAACGCATAAACCACGTTTTAATAACGTTATCGAGCGCTTACAATGAACGAATAAGAAAAATTTTTTGAAAGAATTTTTTAGAGGAATTTTTAAAGAAAAATTTTTAAAGAAAAATTGTTAACCTCCGTCCAAGAAAAAGTTGAATGAAAAGTTTTCTTATTTCTTTTAAAATTTGTTGTTGTAAGGTTGTAATAATATTAATCCACAAAGATGGCGATGACGATGATGAAGATGATGGTGGTGACGATGATGATAAGGACAACGATGTTAATTATCACTAAGATAATGTGACATGAAAATGTTGACAGAGCTAACGACGATTATGATGATGTTGACAATGAAAATGAGACTATGTAGACGACGATGATGATTTTGAGAATGATAAATAGTTCAGCTTAAGGTCATCATCGTCATCAGGAACAAAGTTTTTATCACCGTCATCATTATGATAAAAAATAAAATAATAATGCCAAACGGGACGGCAGTAAGTGAGTGAATGAGTGAGTGAGTGAGTGAGTGAGTGAGTGAGTGAGTAAAAATTGCATCCCAACATGCAATGCTCCGTTATTTTATAATCAGGCAGCCATGCTTAAGATAATGATTTAATAAGTGGAGAATTCAGTATTATATGCGTTTAGGTTTGCAGAATTTGATAAAATCTTTCAATTATTTGTTAATTGTCAATTAATTAATTAACTTATTTATAGGTCATTAATTAATTAATTAATTAATTTCATTCGTCGTTCACTCAATCATTAGTTCGCTTTATAAATTCAATCATTCTCGAAATAATGATTTATGAATGGTAAATTTACAAACACACACACAAACACAAACACAGACACACACACACAAACACACACACACACACAAACACACACACACAAACACAGACAGACACACACAAACACACACAAACACACACACACGCACACACGTAGTAATTTATTTAGATTTATGCCTTCATTTATACAGCAGGACCCAGGCTCCCTATAAATTCTTAATAAGAAACAGATTATGAGAGCACACAAAGCCCGTAATATTGGCTGACTGCTTGGAGATGGGATGATTGTGAGTGCCAATTATTCCAATGTTGACGATGAAGTGATGTAACAATGATGACGATGATGATGATGATGATGATATGAAGATGGTATGATGAATGTGTGTTAGTAAGGGTGGTGTAGTGATGGTGATGGTGATGATTTAGACGTAGGAAGTAGTAATGATGAGGATGATAATGAAGATGAAGATGGTAGGTGATGATGCAGTGATGACGATGATGATGAAGATGATGATTTCTGAAATTTATGTCCATATGGGCACATATGTAGTCTCACGTGATTTATGTTGTGTTGCAAGTAACAACCAAATCAAGCATTCAAAATTAAACAACTTTCGACTAACTCATGTAAAATCAGAGCAGTTTATTATATATTTCCAAAATAATTAATATTTTTTACTAATATTATGAAACAAATATCATGAAAGTTTATATTTATAATGAACTAGAAGTGAATCTGGCAGATCAATAGTACCGACCACCATTTCTGCCAGTGGAGTTTCATTTTGCCCAACGGCATCTTTCTGTATCAGTGGAGGCGCTCCAGTGGCTGCTGATCTATTGATAGAACCTTCTGGAGACTTTGACGGCGACGATGATGATGATAGTTGTAATGTTGATATTGATGACGATATGTGTGGTTGTGGTTGCTGTTGTGGTTGCTGTTGTGGCTGTTGTTGTGGTTGCTGTTGTGGCTGTTGTTGTGGTAGAGTTAGCTTTGGGGAGTGCGAAGGCGAATTTTGAAAACATTGAATAGAAGTTTGAGAATAAACTGGCTGTGGAAGAGGTTTAGATTTGAAAGATTGTTGTTGCAGTTGTTGTTTCTGTTGTTGTTGCTTCTGTTGCAATTGTTGATGCTGTTGCAGAAGTTGCAGATGCTGCTGATGTTGTTGCAATCTTTTCAGCTGCTGCTGTTGTTGTTTATCTTGTTTTAGATTTTGCTTTTTCAGCGAGCTGATGACTTGCTTGTCGAAGGCAATCAGACCTTGAGATTGCTTCTGAAATGCATCCACACTGTCTGGCACCTCGCAACCTTTGTAACTCTCGTCGCAGAACTCAACATTCTTCGGTAGGAACAACGAAATAGGTCTTTGCTTTGAAGTAGTATCTGTCTTAGACGGCTTTGAAAGTGTTGAAAATGTCAAATTCTCAACTGATTCAGGCAAATTGATGACGGAACCGAATTGGTTTCTTGCAATGAGAATGTTGATGGTGTTGGATGCAAGTGCATGAAGTATTTGCTTCTGAGTTGTTTGTGAGGTCAGTTGCTGGTTGTTGATGTTCAGCAGTCGATCGTTCTCCTGTAGTTTTCCGTTCCTGTTTTAAAATGAATTGATTGGATTGGTGGAATGTTTTAAAAATATTTCCCAAATGATAATTTTAATAAAAGTTGAGTTAAATGGTTGAATGTAGATGGACCATTCTCTTGAACGTTATACCATTGACAAATTATTATCAATCCGTATAATTGACCAGAAATCATTTGCAATGATAATTAAACATTCACTAAATCAATCAGTTGTATGTATACATATGTGCGTGTGCATGTGTGCGAGTGCGTGTACGTGCTCATATACGTGCGTGTGAATGCGGATGCGCGTGTGCATGCATATGAAAACCTACAAAACTCATCCATAAGAGCAGCCACGAGCTAGAACTTGGAGACAGGAAATGAAAGATAAACTCGACATTCTTCCAGCATTTGAAATCTTACACAGTAAATATATTGTCAAACCTTAAGTGTGTATGTACCTTAAATTGCGAATGTGTAAACGCGTTGCACCGGAACAACATGGTATTTTCGTCTAACAAATTTTACATTAACACCAAACAATTTTCATCTAACAAATTTTACATTAACACCAAACAATTTTCATCTAACAAATTTTACATTAACACCAAACAATTTTCATCTAACAAATTTTACATTAACACCAAACACATCAGGTAATTTTAGAGCATTGTTTTGAAATAATCATCATATCACAATAATATACAGACGCCAGACAATATTACAACAACTCGACTCACCGTCAATTTGATTTGCAGATATGATTGGTTAAGTATGTTATTAGTTATACAAATTTATCAGTTATAGCAGATCAATCATTGAGTTGTTTAACAAAGTGATAAGTGCTTTACTAAATATTTTACTATGTAACATCAGTTACATGTTGTTTAATGTTCAATATTTCATAATGTTATAAAAATCAATGTACTATCTATAAACCAATGAAATGTTTATGAAATGATATCAATCACATCATTATTAAAATATTGTATAGTCTTAAAAATTGAAGAAAAAAATTCTAATATATCCAAACAGGCATATGAGCAATCACTTTTATTTAAAACAGCGTTACGTGAAAAATTATATTATCTCAGCACAATAAAACTCAATTATCAAGTAAACATATTAGTTCAAAAAATAAATCTTCCGTTAGAATAAACATTCACTTTTAGTTGCTCCAACAATGTTTATACTGATAATCACTACGAAATAACGATTTGAAGAAACACAAAAAACAACCAAACAATCTGCATAATAAGGAAAACAAAAAAATCAGCAGCGATTGTGCATAGAAAGATTATAACACCGATCATGTATACATACATACATACGTACGTAAGTACATACGTATGTATGTATGTATGTACGTCGGTATGTATGTATGTATGCATGCATGTACGTACATACATACATACATACATACATACATACATACATACATACATACATACATACATACATACATACATACATACATACATACATACATACATACATCAACAATTATACAAATGCACCTACATAAACATTCGTATCCGTATAACTCCATGAACATGTATGCATACAAACATACATGTAAACATACGCACACACACTTGTATGATAATGACATTCGACATACAGATGCATATGCAAAATGTACGCTTATATTCTCCCAACTGTTATTGACTTGGGAGCAAAGCATGTTCGTTCAGACATACAACGTAGAACGCACCAGTCTTCTCTTCTGTGCCAACAAAGCAATGAACCAACTGCACACTTGTACGCAGTGTGCAGTTGGTTCTTCTCCGTGTTTTCCAAGTGCTAATTATTATTTATAACCTGTTATGGTATTTACTTATATACCTAACAGGTATTGTGTTCAGTTGTGTATGCGTTTAAAGCAGGTTATAAAACCTATCTGCAAATGTTCTGGTGTATGTTTTCGCAAGAGCGTTTCAATAAATCACTACTCCGCATATGAATGATCTTGACGAATGAATAATTTCTGTTTCATACGACGTTGATGAATGCGGCACTAAACAGACTGAAGAAAAACTCCTATTGAGAAAAAGCTGCTGAATAAATGATGGGTATGCATCAAATGGAAAGTAGCATATGATGTGGAATAAATAATTCAACAACAGTGCTTGCTCCTCCCACTGTGATGAGGTGGTGGGAATGGCGAATTCAGTAAACGTTGTGAGCAGTCACAAAAGGGAACATTGAATGATAGTTTAATTAGAATATACGTTGCAAAGTAGAAAACTAATGACACATTAAGATGAAGTCTAGATGTGGGTTTAAATGATGCAAATTACTTCGAATTTAAACACGCGTAGAGTAAGTTGTTTTCATTTAATCGTTCATTCTGTTAACTTTTCTTTTGAAATTTTTGTTCCTCGTTTCTAAATTAAAATTTTAGTTCCTTCAGACCGGACGATTAAAATGTTATATTGTAGATGACGCATCTGACGCAAATCCAACTCGAACAACTTCAAACAAACGAGTTCAGATTGGCTAAAAGTTTGGATAGTCTTGGATTGTTATAGCATTTTTATGATACTAATAAAATATAGACGTGCTAGTAGAAAGGTCTAGATGACCAAATCTATATAAGTGGAAGTGCTGCAACTCCGAGCTGATGTTAAATCGAAAAGTGAATGACCGCTAAGGAAATAGCAATCCAGTGAAAAATGATTCATTAAATTATATATATATATAAACGTGCATACAGACATATACAGACATACAAACATATACAATCACAAATATATATATATATATATATATATATATATATATGTTTATACATATAGCATATGTATATATCTGTATATATGCATATAAACAATACAAACATACATCTCTCTATGTTTATAAAGCAGCAGCAATCATTCTAGAACATTCAATAAAGCTCCATTCATTCCTTTTTCACATTATTATAAACACACAAATACAATATGATATATATATATATATATATGCGTGTGTGTGTGTTGTGTAGGTGTGTGTGTTGTACAATATATACGCCAATTTTTAAACATGTCACATGTAACAAAATTTCATAAACATTTGGAGAGAACGTAAAACTAAGATAATTTGAATATAAAAAATACTTGAATTAAATTCACAAATTAAAAAATCATACAAAAACAAAACAAAAACGTGAAAATGTTCAAAAGTAAAAGAAAATTCTCTAGCAGGACGTGATCTACGTAAATTTGTGGCCGGCCAACACGCAAAAACTCCCTTACGCACCAGTGAACGGGAGCATGTAAGCAGATAAACCCTTGTTTATACGCTGAATACAAAAGTTTCAACTCACACAGAACAATTCTTATATATTTATATGTGTGCGTGTGTGTAATGTGTGTTTTTTTCATCTATGTGAGTGGTGTATGTGTGTAGTTTTTTTTCGTAATTTGATTTGTCTTTTTGTCTGTACTTTCAAGGGTTTGGCGATGAAACGTGTGTTATAATGTGCAAACCTATATGGTGTTTAATTTTAAATGTTTGTGAGAATTTATGTGTATACGTGTGTACGTGAATGTTCACTGATATATGTTTGTATGCATATGTGTATGTGTGCGTTTGTTTATGTGCGCTTGTGTGTGTTTGTGTGTTTGCAGGCATAAAACACGTCAAGATAAAGTTTAAGTTTGTTTGGTGGATTGATAAATAACACTGGTTTGATAAGGTTGGATAATTGTTATTTTTTGGAAGTACTGCTGATGTTGATGTAGTATTTTTTTTTGTTTTTTCTTCCATTGTTGTTGGCCATGTTTTTTCTGTTCTAACTGTGATAATTCAAGTTGAAAAATTTTTTTTTGGTTATGATCCCAAGTGGGTAAATAGAAAAGCTAAAAATTAACATTGTTAAGTTTGTTGGATTCAAGTTTTGTTAAAATTGAAAAAATTCTTCGCCAATTCAAATTCAATTCTTCGCCATTTTAAATTATAATTTTATATCATGTTTTTGCTGCATAATCATCGTTATATTCTATAAAAAAAACTGCATGCATATATAGTACGTACGACTCGTTAAAATTGAATTAGCTCCGATCAAATGAATAACAGACAACATATTTGAAATACTTTGAAGCATTTTTAATGTTTGATCGCCTATCTGTTTTTTCAATGTTCGCGTGTGTATCTCTCTCTCTCTCTCTCTCTCTCTCTCTCTCTCTCTCTCTCTCTCTCTCTCTCTCTCTCTCTGTCTCTCTCTCTCTTTCCCTCCTTCTCTTTCCATTTGTATATATGTGTGCGCTGTGTGTGTGTTTGTAATCAACTTTTAAATTTTACAAGTGAAGAAACAACATTGAAGAACTTCATGTATGTTTTAGAATTACGTAACTAAACAAACACTTGAAAAAAGGGTAATTATAGAGATAAGCTTTAAGTACAGTCATTCATCTTTCTCCGCTAGAACGTTTGTTTGAACGACAATTTAAATTAATCAGAAAATAAATTTAGAAAAAATTATCTGAAGAGAACTATTGGTAAAATATTAAACGCATATAATTGAATAAATTTTTAAACAATATGTATAATTCTATATAGTATAGTTATACAATTTCAACTATTCAGTATATATTAACGATGTGTTGATGAGTGGCACATAATGTTCATTGATATGACCTTAATTTGAATGATTGATATATTGAATTTTGTTAGTGCAAAATTATGTATTGTGAACGTAGAAGATGTATATAACATTCATTCACTCGCTTATTTATTCATTTATTTTTTCGTTCATTCGTTCGTTAATTCATTAATTCATTCACCCACTCACTCATTACCATTTACTAAATACTGTTCAAGTCATAAATGAAGCAAAAATTTATTAGTAGATGAAGTTGAATGTGGAATGATGAAAAGTGGAAAAATGATGACTAAACCTGGCAGCAATTCCTTCAGAGAGTATTCCCTCAACGAAAAATCCCACATGGCACCCTCTTTCATCCTTCACTTCCACAATCCCGAAGCCATAATCATGTTGAGGACTCGATTTTTTAAGCTGAATTTTTTGGAAAGTGTTTCCCGTATCTTTTTTTTTGTTGGAAGTATCAAGAAACTCCAAACTCTGGTGGTAAGTTTTGTTCTTGATGGATTTTGTAGGAAGGGGTGTTGAAGGTCTGTCCTTCTTGCTAGCTTCACGTCTGTCATGGTCGAGTGAATGTTGTTTAACATTTTTCGATTCACGATCATTTTCATTTTTCACGATGAATTTTAGCAATCCGGTTTCAGTTTTATTATTAAGATCGGTTTTATTATTATCATTGTTACAATCAAAATTTGGAATTTTTTCATCTAAATTTTTTTTATTCTCATTATTCACCACATCGTTATCGGCAATATTTTTACTCTTTGGTTCATCTTCGACGTCATCAATAGTCGTTTCCGTTACTTTTTTACTAGCAGCCGAATTTTTTATCGACCGATTTCTGTTTTGGAGAAAGCTCGCCCTCAGAGCGCCTGACAGTGGCTTCCTGTGGGATGCATTCCGCGAGAAAAAAACCAACTCGCCGCTGTTAGTGTTGATATCGAAGTTGTCCTCTTTGATATCCTTCAACTTCGAGATATCATTCAGCTGAGATAGTGAGTCCTCCAGACATACGAGACGACAAAACAACGGCGATTCCAATAAACTGACCAGGTGTAGCAATTCTTTCTGGATTTCAAGATTTTCTGTTTCTAGAAGTTTCTTTCTCAATTGCACCAAGAGTTCTTTTGATTGGTTGAACTCTTTAAAAAAAGTATTGATATTTTAATAACTATTATTATTGTCACAATTGTTATAATATTCATAATAATAGTATACCACGAATAAATATTTTAATAATTTTAAAAGTTAGACTAACTTTGTTTGAAAGTGGCAGCCATGTGAAATCGTGTAAGTATTTATTTCTCGAATGATGAAAAACGAAAGAAAAAATTTGCTTAAAATGCGCTGGATACTATAATACTATAATAGTAATAATAATTATAGAGAGTGGAATTAAAAACTTCCGTCAAAAGCACATATTAACTGACACCTCTAAACACACACTTGCATCCGAGTGATTTGCATAATTGTAACAAGGAAATATTTCAACTCAAACGTTCATGCACATCTGATGACAGCAATCAATACACGCACGCACTCTAGCATCTCAGTAATAAAGAAAAACTTCAACCTACATTTTCAAAACTTCTAACCAATCAGAACGGTTTGACCTGATTTCAACTTCTTCAGCCAATCAGAATCCAGCGATCGATTAGCGATTTTCAGATATGGTTATTGTCAATCATTTGGAGTCGTTGAATTTGAACTGTGAAATGTTTAAAACAAACGTTGAACAACTTGCTGCAACAAATCCATGCAACTAACCGCATGTGCTAGTATATTTACGTTCATATTTGGAATTTCGAATAAATTTTTTCAAAATAAAAAAATTTGTTTACACTGTATATTGCAAATATTAAATGTTACATGCATATATAATATATAGTTGAATAGGCGTACAGGCGCACATGTGTTGTAGTTTAAAATGCAACAGTCAGTCATACGCATATTTGTACAGCACGAGAAAGTGATCTATAACGAGAGTCGTTATTTGATAGGCCCTCAAGCAAAATTTTTTGTTTAATATTTCATTAAATTTCATCAAACTCTCATATTAAACATTCCTATGTTTTAAACGCATTTTTGAAAAGTTTAGCTGCTAGAGGATGGATAATATTCTAATAGCAGCTTTATAGGATGTAAGACTTATGAACGATTCAATCTATCTGGTTAATCCACACTATATTACATGTTGTTGCTTTTTTTTACAAAATATTTCCCTAGGGATAAATAATTCTTTTACAAATAACTTTCTAACATGTTGAACATATTCAACCACATTCATTAATTTTTTTCAGTAATAAACCGTCCAACAAGACAGACCAAGCTAACACGTGAATAAATAAAATACTACTGCATGTTTTGTTGTGATGTGATTCGTTTCGTAATACACACACACACATACACACGCACACCGCACACACACTCACACAAAACACCAACACACACACATACACACATTTGTTCCAAAATTAACAATAAAGTGTAATGAATTCATTTGGTGACTACCTACTTATAAACATCATCTATTAAATAAATTAAATACGTCATGAAATTCTCCACAAATCATATTTTATTTTACATCACTTCATTGAAATTAGTCTTTCAGCTTCAGCCATTCATTAAGATTTTTAATTGATAATTAGTTGATTTCATAGTTACATTATTTAGTGGATAATAAGAATGCTAAAACGTACAACCACATTTCGGGTTTTCAAAGAAATCATTCGCACTTGGTTCTCTGTTTGCATTATATGTTAAAGGTCTTAAAAAAGTCTTTAAAGTCTTAAATCTAAAAAAATTTACAGTACAATCACAAATTATTCGATTTTATTTCATTAAACGGGTTAGAAATCTACACATTTATAATGAACAACGATATATAGTGATCCAATAATATTTGATAATATTGAATGAA